ATCCGTTCCTGGTGGCTTCTGGACCGGGGCTGCCCAGGAGAGGTGGGCAAGGGGAGGGACCCGGGGGACACCTGGGCTGGGCGGTGGGGACCAACGGCACCCCAATGCACCCTTGTGGGCCGGAGGGGGCAGGGGAGGGGTGGCAGCAGGTGCCCTGAACAAGTGGATGGGATGGGCTTTTGCCCCAATTCCCAAACACTCCTGGGCGCTGGGCTCCACCACCCTCATGTTAGGGCTGCCGAGGATGAAGAGCAGCATACAGGCTGCATCGCAGCCCCTGGGACATGGCAGCATGTGCCCTTTTGGGGCTGCAAGGCTGCCTACAATTGGTACTGGGGGGTTTCTCAGTGCTTGCGGGCACGGCAGAGCTGGTGGGAGATGCTCCAGCTTGCCGAGGGCTCTCTGAAGCAGCCTGGCCTCTGGCTGGCACCTGCAGAGCCACTGATCCCTGCTTGGTGCCCGCTCCGTGGCACCTCCAGCACCCTCGGAGCGGGCCCTTGATGTGCCTGGCCAGTTTGCATCTTCTGTCGGGGGACATGAAGGAGAGCTGGGACCCCAGGCAGGGTCAGCGTGCTGGGGGGCTGCCTGTGCTGCCAGCCCTGGGCTGGGGGCATGGCCAGAGGTCCTGATGCTTTCAGGGGCCGTAGCTGGGGAGGGAAATGCTGTGTCTGTGCTGAGGCAATACCATAGAGTCGTCCCAGCATGAATGTGTGACAGCGAAGGATGGGATTGTGCCCAGGGGCTTGGCTTTGCCTTGACTGCCCCCATGGGTTGGGGCGCCCTGCTGTGTCCCACGGGGGACTGGGGGGTCCCTGGGCCGAGCTGCTACCTGGGGGCTGGCTGATGTGAGCAACCTGTGGGCAGGGGCAGCTGCTCATCTTTAAAGAAGAGCACTGGGGTTCAGGAGATGCAAAACCAAAACTCCATCCTTGAGACGCTCGCTCTATTTGCCGAGGAAATAGGAGTTGGAAGCAGCTCTGCTCCAGCGCTTTCCCTAACCCCGACGCTGCCCCTGTGCTGATTCATTGATTTGGACGGGTTATATACTGGGAGGGGAAGCATGAACCACACTCGGCTCTCTTGCCAGCACAGAGCTGTGCTCGCTCGGCGCTCGCGGCTGCAGGACACTTGGGTAAGTCTCCTCTCCACTACTGCCCCCGCAAGTGGCCCTGGGCCCAGGGGACTCCCGGGGCAGCTCCGAGGGGTGGTGGTGTGGCAGCGGGATCTGCACATTCAGCATCTTTTGATTTGATGGAGATGTTTGTCTTGCAAGGGTTCTCCAACTAACTGAGCCCGCTCAGGCATTGTGGGAGCTGAAATAGTTACATAGGCAACGTATCTTAAATAATAACTCATAAAGAAAATCAAGGGGGGTAAAAGTAACGTTTAGGGGGGCTGATGTTAGGAGCAGTGGGATGCTCAGGGGCTGAGCAATAGGGAATATTCAGCCTCTTGGTCTGCAAGTTTTTTATCCCTAGAAGAAAAGAGGAGATAAATTGTTTTCAGCTGCCTTTCCTGAAGGGCGCTCCAACTTGGACACTCTCTGAGCTGCTTTACCAGGGAGTGACATGAGTGGGGCTTTTGATGTGCAGGGTGTTTGGGGAAGTTTATAAATGGCTCGCTATAAACAAAGCTGTTCTTGGATGCAGATTATTTCCATATGTGAAGCATAAACTGTGCTGGCTTGTGGAGGGTTCCTCCCTCCTCGACAGAGAACAAGCGCGTTCCCAGGAGGGAGCCTGGGGCGAAGGGCAGGGGCTGTCCCCCCGCGCCCTGAGGTGCTGTGCCAGCCGGGACGCCGTGCCCGGACCCCTGCGCTGCCGGACTTGCCCGTCTGCTGAGCTGTGCTTGGGGCCAGGGGGAGCTGCAGGTTTTCTCCCTACCTTGTGCCTCTCAAAGCTGTTAGCGGGGGGCTGCTCTGTGCCAGCCTGGCGTGAGGCTGCTGCTTCGATCTACGGAGAGGGAAAAGCTCCTGGGCCAGAGGAGGGAGGAAGGGTGTCCATAGTGCTTGTGCTTGTGGAGTGATGGAGGACTTTACTGTAAAACCCTCACTGCCCTTGGGCTCCAGGACTCCTCTGGACACTACCCCTGGGACCACCCCGCACACGGGTACCCTCACTGGACACCCTGCTCTCATGGCCAAAGGCAGCCTGGGCTGACCTTCTTCTGGGGATGGGGTGCAGACAGGGCCACCGCGGTACCCAGCGTGGGCTGGGGAGCTGGCAGAGGGCCCAGAACCAGAACCCCCAGAACCCAGGCTCCTGCGGGATCGGAGCTAAAGCACACCTGGGCAGCGTGTGCCAGCGCTGCTCTTAGCTCTACGACAGAAGCTGAGAGCCCTTTCCACTCCACAGAGCCAGGAGAGTGCTCAGGGGTGCTGGGGGGAGTGCCTTTCTTCCTGCCCCCACCCAGCATTCCCGGGACCCTCTCTGCTGCGGGTGCCACAGGCTGGCTCTGGTGAAGGTCTCGGCTGTTTGGTGCTGCTGGGAG